ACAGCAGATAGCCGAATGACGGCTGCACTGCGGCTGGCCAGTTCTGGGAGGACGTCATACCTGTGCCCAGCACTGCCACCCACCTGTGCCATCCACCTGTGCCCAGCAGCTCCACCCACCTGTGCCATCCACCTGTGCCCAGCAGCTCCACCCACCTGTGCCATCCACCTGTGCCCAGCAGTGCCACCCACCTGTGCCCAGCAGTGCCACCCACCTGTGCCATCCACCTGTGCCCAGCAGCTCCACCCACCTGTGCCATCCACCTGTGCCCAGCAGCTCCACCCACCTGTGCCATCCACCTGTGCCCAGCAGTGCCACCCACCTGTGCCCAGCAGTGCCACCCACCTGTGCCATCCACCTGTGCCCAGCAGCTCCACCCACCTGTGCCATCCACCTGTGCCCAGCAGCTCCACCCACCTGTGCCATCCACCTGTGCCCAGCAGTGCCACCCACCTGTGCCCAGCAGTGCCACCCACCTGTGCCATCCACCTGTGCCCAGCAGCTCCACCCACCTGTGCCATCCACCTTGCCCAGCAGCTCCACCCACCTTTGCCCAGTAGTGCCACCCACCAGTGCCCATCAGTGTAGCCCAGCAGTGCCACCAGTCTGTGCCGCCAGTCAGTGCCCAGCAGTTGCGCCAGTCAGTGCTCAGCAGTGCCGCCTATCAGTGCTGAATATCAGTACCCATAATCAGTGCTGCCTATCAGTGCCACCTATCTGCGCCACCTCATTAGTGCAGCCTATCAGTGCCCTTCAGTGCTGCCTATCAGCGCCCATCAGTGTCGCCTATCAGCGCCCATCAGTGCCGCCTATCAATGTCCATCAGTGCAGCCTCATCAACGCACATCAGTGAAGGAGAAAAATTACTTGTTTGCAACATTTTAGAAACAAAACTTTTTTTTCTTTTTCTGTTTATAGCGCAAAAAGTAAAACACCCAGCGGCAAGTAAATACCACCAAAAGAAAGCTCTATTTGAGAGAAAAAAAATGATAAAAATTTCAAAGGGGTACAATGTTGCATGACCGCGCAATTGTCATTCAAAGTGCGACAGCGCTGTATGCTGAAAATTGGCCTGGTAAGGAAGGCGGTATAAGTGCCCGGTATGCAAGTGGTTAAAGCTATTTCAAGGCGAGTCCCTGTATTTTCCCATGCCACTGTCACTTTAAATGCACAGTTCTTTTTATATTGAAAAATAAATACTTACTTCATGTTCCTAGTTTAGGTCTTGTGTAAACACAGATACAGAAATGAACAGGATTCAATGGAGAAGAGAAACGATTGCAAATAAAAGTTATCTATTCATTAAACGCATGCAGCTGGGAGATAATTTAATATAAAGTAATTGCTCAAGGATGGGACTTAGAAAAAGGCTTTCATTCTGTCAGCCTACTCTAAATCCAACAAAAGAGGAATGTCCACACAAGCAAGACAACTGCAGATGATTCACTTAAATAATTTATTAAATCAATCTTACGTCAGTACATATTTTCCCACAGACTTACAATATTCTAAATTAAATATATTTAATTACTCTGCTTCCTTTTTTATTTCTAGTTTGAAATCATTTCAGATTTTAGCCATCTGCAGTCTTTTGACGCTTAAACAAGAAATGCTTTTAACTTAATTTATTTTTACGATTTTTTTGTTATTGGAAAGTTGTGCGTGATTAATGGATCCTGAACTTGGCTGGAATGCTTATTTCTAGATCTTTTATAATGAACAGCCAATAGCAAGCAGTGGCTTATAGTGGAAACAGAATAGCCTTTGTCTGACTATAAAAGGCCATTACTCATTACAGTGAAGTTATCACAAGATAATAGTATAGTTCTGTTAGGTTTTCTCTTCCATATGTTGCCCCCCTAAGAACAGATTGGAGTATGGCAATGACAGGATTTTGAAGTGCTATTTTAAAACTGATGCATGAAAGTACGTTGTGCTTTATAAAGATGTGACAAATAGCGCAAGTAAGCATATATTGGATAATCTAAGGGCTAAATTTAAAGTGTTGACTGCTTTAAAGCATTATAACTGAATACTGTATAATTAAATTAGCACGCTTGTAGCTCAGCATCTGTTTTTAATGCATAGTTATGCAGCAATAACTGATTAACACATACTATTACAAAATTCAGAATTCTGATACAAAATATTTTCCCTCCCTGTAGTATTTTACATGACCTCCCTCTCTTGTGATCTATCAACAATAATTCTTGCACACAATTAATCCACAGCAGAAGAGATTAATAAATTTAAATTAAACCACAGTGTGACAGCATGCACAGACAAGTGCCCCTGATTTGCTCACAGAGAATTGCTGATACCTAATGCCCCGTACACACGATAAGAAAATTGTACGAAAAATTTTGCGGAAACTGATCGAACGATTTTCTCTTCGTTGATGAGCAGGATGTTTTAACTGTTAACGATATTGTGAACGAAAAAATCCGGTTGAACAACAGTGAAAAATGTTGTCGTTTCGCATACGAACTACCGATTTTCTATGCGGTGGTATGATGATCGTACGAAAAAAATCTATCAAGCGCTATCACGCATGAACGGAAACAGAAGATGACCCAGATGTTTATGTCCAAGGAATCTTCGTAAACACAAACGAAAAAAAATCCAAATGTTAAAAGTAGATTGTCTTAATGAGATCATGAAACCAGAATTGTGCATATTATATTTTATGTATCACTTTTTATGTATATAGGTAATGTAATAAACAATATTATACTCATTGCTATTAATTGTTGTGTATATCGCTCGTTCTGGCCAGAAGGGCGTGGCTACAAGGTCACATGCACACTGCATCACTTCCACTTGTATGGAAGACGTCAATACTACATATTGCCCGATGAATGATTTTTTTAGATTGGTTAATGTGGGCCACGATTTCGACCAACGAACGAACGCCTCTCGGTCACTGGATGACTGATCGGTCGATTTTCTAATCGCGTATTCCCACCTTTACACAGCATAGTGGGGATATTATATTGGACCTGAGAGCAACCAAGTCCCTGTAGTTACTAAATGTAAAGGGAATAGGGTCTGCCATTAGTGAACACTAATACTTTCACTTAAGCTCTAGATAAATGATTGTTGGGATTACTGAAAGATACAGTATCGAACACAAAACAAATATATTTTCTTGATCAAAGGCTATTGGACTTTTTCAAAGTTGAAGAAACATTTGGTTTTCTGGCAGTTGGAGGTCCATCTTAGTTCTTTCTGCATAAACAAGTCTCACTTTACCATCTAGGGCTATGAAGGGGTTAAATGTGTGCCTAAATATGTGCAATGTGTGTAAAGTGTGCTGCTTTTACTAATAGATCTCTAAGTTTCTCATCTCTGCTTCGCAGGGATGAGAAACACAGAAATTGTTCCCTTTTCAACACAGTCAACACAGAGCTCTAGGCTGGGATTGTGCACAGCCGATCAGCAGGTCCTGACCATGGATCATTGGCCTGGACTTGCTGACAGATACCCGGATGTAGGCAGCGATGTATCGGTACGTCGCTTTGCCTACAGCTGCTGCCTATCCACAGTACATTGCAGGCCGCTGATCATTAAGTGGTTAAAAAGTTCTGTGCCGCCCTATAGCAGAAATACTGATCGGTCGATTTTCTAATTGCATATTTCCTCCTTTACACAGCATAGTGAGGGTATTATCTTGGACCTGAGAGCAAGCAAGTCCCTGTAGTTACTAAATGTAAAGGGAATAGGGTCTGCCATTAGTGAACACTAATACTTTCACTTAAGCTCTAGATAAATGATTATTGGGATTACTGAAAGATACAGTATCGAACACAAAACAAATATATTTTCTTGATCAAAGGCTATTGTTGGAATTTTTCAAAGTTGAAGAAACATTTGGTTTTCTGGCAGTTGGAGGTCCATCTTAGTTCTTTCTGCATAAACAAGTCTCACTTTACCATCTAGGGCTATGAAGGGGTTAAATGTGTGCCTAAATATGTGCAATGTGTGTAAAGTGTGCTGCTTTTACTAATAGATCTCTAAGTTTCTCATCTCTGCTTCGCAGGGATGAGAAACACAAAGATTGTTCCCTTTTCAACACCGTCAACACAGAGCTCTAGGCTGGGATTGTACACAGCCGATCAGCAGGTCCCGGCCATGGATCATCAGCCTGGACTTACTGACAGATACCCGGAAGTAGGCAGCGATGTATCGGAACGTCGCTTTGCCTACAGCTGCTGCCCATCCACAGTACATTGCAGGCCGCTGATCATTAAGTGGTTAAAAAGTTCCGTGCCGCCCTAAAGCAGAAATACTGCTATAGGGTGGCAGGGGTGCGCAAAATCACGTATATATACATGATTTTGCAGTTCAGGGTAGGTGCCGCCATTCGCACCCTCGGCTGACAATCACCAGGACCCTGCCAGTGATTACTCGCCAGCACCCGGTGATCACTGAGTATCTCAGACGGGGGAGAGACCTGTGTATAAACAACACAGATTTCTCCCCTGTCAGCTCTTGCACACTGCTTTGTATGTACCTTTACAATCCAAAATCTTTGCAAGCTAATTTTACGTGCATGTATAGCAATTTGGCAAACATCCAACTTTACAACACTTGCCAGAATTGGGCTTCTATCCTATTATAAACTCCCCAAAGGTGATTATATCCACTTACACTCCTGAGGATTTACCCTCATTCCTGACCAGGCCATTTTCTGCATTACAGCATTGCGTTATTTTAACTGACCATAGTGCGGTCATGCAACACTGCACCCAAATTAAAATGATTTTTTGCCCTTTTTTCTCATGAATTGAGCTTTCTTTTGGTGGTATTTGATCGCCTGTGTGGTTTTAATTTTTTGTGCTACAAAAAAAAAGGACTGACAATTTTGAGAAAAAAATATTTTTGACTTTTTGCTATTAAACATGTCCAGTAAAAAAAATTTAAAAATCAAATTTCAGCATACATTTAGGCCAAAATGTATTCTGCTACATGTCTTTGCGAAATAAAAATCTCAATACATGTAAATGAATTGGTTTACGTGAAAGTTATAGCGTTTACAAATGGCGGTATATATAGTGGTTTTTTTTTTTTTTTAATTTTTACTAGTAATGGTGGCTATCAGTGACTTATAGCAGGACTGCGGCGGGCATCCTGACACTGGGGGGAACTAACTTGGTGTCACTGACATCCTCAGTGACACCAGTACAGTGATCACTACTAAAAAAATAACACTGCCACTGTACTAATGGCGCTGGGCAGGAAGGGATTGACATGGGGGTGATCAAAGGGTTAACTGTGTGCTGGGTGTGTTTTACTATGGGGCCCTATGTTTGTGCTTCACTGTAATCACACTGCTTTGTATGGCTGTGCTATACAGCCACGAGAAGCAGTGTGCATGAGCTGACAGGGAGGAGAACAGTTTTGTTTACAAACAGTTCTCCTCCCCGTTAGAGATCTTTAGCAATTACCGGGCACTGGCGACTAATCATTGGCCTGGGCCCGGTGACTGACAACCACGGCCACGAATGGCGGCGCAGGTAGGGCACGTGCGTGCCCCCTACCCGGAAATGCAAAATCATGTATATATACGTGATTTTACGCACCCGTGCCGCCCTGTAGCAGTATTTCTGCTATAGGGTGGTCGGGAAGCGCATATCCTTCAATTTTTTGACGGAAAGTGGATAACACTTATCACTGCAGCCACTTTGACTGCTCTCTTCTACTACTGACATATACAGTAGATCGTGAATTGGTGGAAATGTGCTTTATAATTGTAGACATTTTCTCTCACTCTAGTTAAAGATGGCAGTACTCGCTAAAGCAGTATAGGCTACCAGTGGGACGTGCAAAGTTAACACTATGACACTAAATCATAGTGAAGAGATTGCACTTATTAAGTCAATATTTGTACAAATTATTCCAGTTTGACATAGGTTAAGGGTTGTTTACACACTCATCAGGTAGTAAGCTAAATTTACAAATACATAAATCTGTTAAAAATATTTTTAATAAAACACATTTTTCTGTTGAGGAAACTAATTTTTAGATTGAGTTATTTTGGCTACAGTTCAGGACAACATTACTGTTATATGTAAATACTTAAGCATAGTTCCTTGTTTGCAACAAGTTAATAATGTGCAAACTCGTATAGATTAACAGAAATGTTGCTGTTTTTTTTACCAGGTAGGATTTTCCTCTACATTTTGCTATGGTAGAGCACCATTGATTTACATTGAAGCACTGTGACCAGATGTGTGCAATCAAGTGCAACAGATGGGCCTGCATCAGCTCAGGAGAAAGTCTACTTAAAAGTTAGAGGCTGGATGTCAAAGTGACTTTTGTACCTTAAAATTTATTTAAAATATACCTGAAGAACGGTCTCCAGGCAATGTTCACTCTTTGGATTGAATTATATTGGCTACAACAGTGTTTCTCAACATTTTTCAGTCAAGACACCCTTTAAAATTATGGACAGCCTTGCGGCACCCCATTCTAAAGTGTAAAAAACTATTCTAATAATTTTACCTAATGCATCAACATCCACACAAATAGGACACCCAACTTTTTAAGGTGATTTATTCTTCCAAAGCAAATACACTTCTGCACACTGGTGCTGACTAGTATTCCAGTGTTTCTCTTCTCCCTCGGTTTTTCTCCATCACTCAGCTAATGTGACCCCAGCACTGATGGAGAGGGGCAGGAGAGGGTCAAACTAGGATGCTGTGCAGGCGCCCACTGTTCTCCTTGTCAACCGATGATGTCACTGATTTTTGGGATGCTGGTGGTTAGAAGGTCGTAATGGTGCACAATGAAAACCTGTGGCTTTGTGTAACTAAAAGGCAGGCTTGAGCCACCTCTGGCTTGTATACAAGTTTTGGGTCATTTTTAGGCATTTTCCCAAGGCACCTCTGAAGAAACTTTAAGGCACCCCAGGGCGCCTGGGCACCCTAATTGAAAAAGGCTGGGTTACAGTTCAGGACACCGGTTTAAAAAAAAAAAACATAATCTTTGACATTGCTGTGATCATTACTGTTACAGTTGCAAGAAAAAGTATGTGAACCCCTTGGGATTACGTGGAGTTTTGCATGAATTGGGCATAAAATGTGCTCTGAACGTCATCTAAGTCACAACAATAGAAGAACACAGTCTGCCCCAACATAATACTGCACAAACATTAGATGTTGCCATGGTTTAATTGCACATAACATGTAAACATTCACAGTGCAGGGAGGAAAAAGTATGTGAGGCCCTAGCTTAATGACTTCTCCCAGAGCTAATTGGAGCCAGGAGTGAGCCAACCTTGACTCCAATCAGTGTGATGATATTGGATGTGTTGCTGACAGCTGTCCTGCCCTTAAAAAAAACACACACCTGTTTTGGGTTTACTGGTTTCAAGAAGCACTGTCTGATGTGAACCATGCCTCGCAGAAAAGAGCTCTCAGAAGACCTGCGATCAAGAATTGTTGACTTGCATGAAGCTGGAAAGGGTTACAAAAGTATCTCCAAAAGCCTTGATGTTCATGTGTCCACGGTAAGACAGACTGTCTACAAATGGAGAAAGTTTAGCACTGTTTACTACTCTCCCTAGGAGGGGTCGTCCTGTAAAAATGACTGCAAGAGCACAGCGCAGAATGCTGCATGAGGTAAAGAAGAATCCCAGAGTGTCAGCTAAAGACCTACAGAAATCTCTGGCACATGCTAACATTTTTGTTGACACATCTACAATAAGGAAAACATTAAACAAGAATGGAGTACATGGGAGGACACCACGGAGGAAGCCATTGCTGTCCAAAAAGAATATTGCAGCACGTTTGAAGTTTGCAAAAGAGCACCTGGATGTTCTACAGCACTACTGGCAAAATATACTGTGGACAGATGAAACCAAGATTGAGTTGTTTGGGAAGAACACACAACACTATGTGTGGAGAAAAAAAGGCACAGCACACGAACATCAAAAAACCTCATCCCCACTGTAAAATATGGCGGAGGGAGCATCATGGTTTGGGGCTGCTTTGCTGCCTCAGGGCCTGGACGGATTGTTGTCATTGATGGGAAAATTAATTCCAGAGTTTATCAAGACATTTTGCAGGAAAACGTATGACCATCTGTCCGCCAACTGAAGCTCCGCAGAGGATGGGTGATGCAACAGGACAATGACCCAAAGCATACAAGTAATTCAACAAAACAATGGCTGCAACAGCACAGAATACGCCTTCTGGAGTGGCCCAGTCAGAGTCCTGACCTCAACCCGATTGAAATGCTGTGGCATGACCTTAAGAGAGCGATTCACACCAGATATCCCAAGAATATTGCTACACTGAAAGAGTTTTGTGAAGAGGAGTGGTCCAAAATTACTCCAGATCGTTGTGCAGGTCTGATCTCTGCAACTACAGGAAACGTTTGGTTGAGGTTATTGGTGCCAAAGGAGGGTCAACCAGTTATTAAGTCCAAAGGTTCACATACTTTTTCCTCCCTGCACTGTGAATTTTTACATGTTATGTGCAATTAAACCATGGCAACATCTAATGTTTGTGTAGTATTATGTTGGGCAGACTGTGTTCTTCTATTGTTGTGACTTAGATGACGTTCAGAGCACATTTTATGCCCAATTCATGCAAAACTCCACGTAATCCCAAGGGGTTCACATACTTTTTCTTGCAACTGTATATGTGAATACTTAAGCTTAGTTCCTTGTTTGCAACAAGTTAATAATGTGCAAACACATATAGATCAACAGAAATGTTTCTGTTTTTTCACCAGGTAGGATTTTACCCTACATTCTGCTATTGTAGACAGCCATTGCTTTACATTGAAGCACTGTGACCAGATGTGGTCAATCAAGTATGGGCCTGTATCGGCTCAGGAAAAAGTCTACTTAAAAGTTAGAGGCTGGATGTCAAAGTGATGTTTGTACCTTAAAATTTCTTTAAAATATCTTTACGTACCTAATTAGCAAGTACCTGAAGAATGGGTCTCTTAGTCACTCTCTCACTCTCGAAACAGAGCTAGAAGCATTGCTTGAATCTTCAGTATCCAAAACCATGACTTCATCTCCCAGACACAACATCACAAGTGTGTCTCTGAAGGTCTGCTGGGAGATGCTACTGATATAGCGGCTTGAGAAATGACCTACAGCAGAAAAATTTTGACCCCCAGATGTGTTAGATGCTGAGAATTCTATCACCACCTTTAGCTTTACAATACAGTAAATATTTCAGCAATAGCCGTGGTGTTGGCCAGTATTAAAACTCTATCTTTCTACTTCCAATCTATGCTGTCTTTGTTTCTCTTTTCATTAAATACAAAAACAAGAATCTTAGTACATTGTATCTGGGTGCGCGTTTCAATATATATGGATCTAACTGTGCATACATGTGGACCACCCATATCAGATATATATTCACATATAAAGGAACATATTGCATATGCCAGGTTGAAAATGTCTATTATAAAAATGTTTTGAGAGGTTAAAGATATTGTATTTCTCTGTTGGACAGCACATTCATTGACAGCTCAGTTCAGGAGAATATATTACTCCATCCTCAAACATTCTTCAGTCTCGTGATATTAGTGTTCACCTTTGGTTAATCCCATAAGAGTAATAACAGTAGAAAAGTACTGCTTGTCATTAGAGGTAAAATTGGCTGGAATATTGTAATCTATCTGGCTTAAAGATTGCCTCCATACTACACTTCAGATTATTCCTTTCTTCACTGTGACCATGATTTCATGTAAATTCATTGCAATGCATCTTAAGTCTACGTCTGTGTAAAACAAGGGCTTCTGTGTGGTAACAGTCACATGTTTTATTGACCTGACTTCCGAGTCTTTTTTTTTTTTTCTATTGAAACTAAACCGTATTCATCTTACTCAGCTGACTGTAACATGCAAACCATATGCAGACAGGCTTGAGAGAAAATTACAAAGATGACAATGTGTGTGTTCATTACAGTTCCTGCCATGTGAGCAGTCAAATGATGACAGATGGTAGTTTCTCTTTTAAAGTCTATGTGCAGATATTTCCAGTAAATGATTGTATCCATGATTTGAAATGCCATGACGAGGGACCAAAGTAAAAGAAAAGTAGGATATATGCTTCTTAAAAGAAAGAGCTATTTCAGAAAAATACGCAAACAAGATTAATTTTTCATGGACATGTGTGATTTTAGAAGACACATAAAGCTTTATTTGTACTGGGGAAAAGTACAACATCAATGCATAACCATAATCCCCCTTTAAAAACTTCTAAGAGATAAATACATTAATATTAAAATGTGAAAACAAAATAGCAGTTATTTTTTATAAGAATATTAACATGATAATATCTGGGCATTCATACTGTGCATTTTAGTGATTAGGAACACCTTAGCTTAAAGAAAAAGTGTCCTTTATATTTTTCTTCAC